GTATCAGTGGGTGCTTGCTAGCAAGTTGTTCGCGTCTAAAGATGAGTTGAGAAAAACGATTATATAGATGGAACATGTATTTAATCGACAATCAAACTTAGAACAATAGAGTATCGAGTTACCGGTGTGTGTTTCGAAGGAATGTTCTCATTCTTGGCAAGCACAGGGAGATCCCTCACCCGTTGGTGGATCCATCACTGCTTATTCAGATTATCAAACGCCACCAACTCCTGTCACGGGCGGCCGTCGTTCCGTTTGACGTGCAGCGAAATACGCCACGCGGAAGGTACAACTTGAGACCTCTCTCTCTCTATTCACAAGAATATACATGCCGAGAAAGTGCACAAGAAAGTGGTTCTTCGACGGGTTATCCCCAACGTCGATTTTATCAAGGCGCAGCTGCTCATTCAAGAGGCGATCACCCAAATGCACCGCCACGTCGATAGATAGCCGGGATGATCGGACGTGGAATGCGAAACCGGCGTGCTTGGAACAAAAATTGTGTGTAGTAATGTGATAAGTGTAATGTAGATAGGGCACCCTTTATAACCATTTGTATAAATAATATAGATTGCGAGGCCTTGGTGGATACTGATGCTTCTGTTTCAATAATCTCACAATTGTTTGCAGATAAATTGCATTTGCAGATTGAAAATACGCCGAATTTCCCTTTGCGTACAGTTGGTGGAACGCGGATAATAGTGCAGGCGTCCACCAAAGTTTCATTCGTAATACAGGGAAACAAATATCTATCAAAGCTGCTTGTTGTAGATGATGGTGATGAGCTCCTTATTTTGGGACAGGACTTCCTGACGGTAAATAGTGCGGTAATTGATTTTGCGGCGTCGAAGATAACCTTAAAAAATAGTGTTGAAATTCCTTTCAATTCTGTCTCTGATGTCATGTCAAGGAAATAGAATAGTTGTTCTATCGAACCAGTTTCAAAAAGTCATAAAAACATTTCATTAAACAAGTCTGAATATTTATATTTCGTTAATTTGTTACATGAGAATTGTGACCACATGTCTCGAGCATTGACTTACAAATAAATGGACGACGGGTCTAATACAAAAACCACGAAAAAAATGTCCCAAGTCAACCTATTCGAAATTTAAATTGTAATGTCATCGCAGATCGCGCTGTCAGTCGAACAAATGAAGACTAAAGCGGAGTTTGGCGCTCTGTATACGATTTTAGCGCCTTACAAGTGCGGACACTTTTTAGCGCGGACCCGACGTCCATATAATTGTAAGTCAATGGTCTCGAGTATAAAAAAAATAGAATTTAATATTGATAATTCATTGCAGGAGAAAAGGCGCGATGAAATGAATCGGTTATTACTACATTTCCGTGATACGTTTTCCTTTGCGCCAGGCGAACTAGGGGTTTTAATCACTCATTGGTTGAAATCAATACTACTGATGAGGAACCGGTGCATAAAATGCCATATCGTGTCTCCCTTAAACAGAGACAAATTATTGAGGAACAAATAGAAGAAATGTTGAAGTATGGGATAATTCAGGAAGTGCATATGCTTCACCGGTAGTTTTGGTGGATAAACCAGAAGGCCCGCCGAGATTTTGTATTGATTATAGGGCCTGGAATAAAAAAGTTAAAAACGATTCATATTCTATTCCGAGAGTAGATGATTTGTTAAGTTGTTTACAGGGTGCAAGGTATTTTGCAGATGTAGATAAGAACTCTGGGTATTGCCACTTAGGTTTAGGAAAAGGGAAGGAAAAAAGTGCCTTTGTTACACATACCGGGCTATATGAGTTCAATGTGTTACCTTTTGGCTTGAAAACAAGTCAAGCGGTGTTTCAAAGGGCGTTGGATAAGGTATTGGCGGGAATGAATCGTAACATGATAGTTTATGTGGATAATGTATTGGTGTATGCAAGTACGTTTGAAGAATTTAAAAATGCATTAAAGGAGGTTTTGATTCGATTGTGAAATGCGCATTTGATTTTAAAACCATCTATGTGTCGTTTCGGTTTTCAGAAGGTGACTGTTCTGGGACATGAAGTGTCGGCCAAGGGAATTGGACCGGATTGTAAGATAGCTGCGGCGATGAAGGAGATAAATCCTTCATGTAGTCTGAAAGAAGTGAGAGCGGTTTTAGGATTGCTCTCTTATTATCGAAAATTTATTAATAATTTTGCTAGATTGGCACTTCCCATCCTGAATTTGACGAAAAAGGCCAAGGTGTTTGTTTGGACGAATGAAGCGCAGGAGGCATTTGAGGTGTTAAAAGATCGAATTTGTAAAGCGCCTGTTTTGGGACATTACTCGTCGAATAGTGAACAGGTGACGCGGTTGTATGTGGACAGCAGTGGATATGCAATTGGATGTTGTTTAGTGCAGGGAATGGGAGAGATGAAACCTATAGCTTATGCCTCGAGAAAGTTAAGTGAAGCAGAAATGAAATATTCTGTTATGGAGGAGGAATGTTTAGCACTTATATTGGCGTCGAAATATTTTAAAAGTTATTTATGGGGACTTTCGTTTTCAGGTAGTTACAGATCATCGGGCACTCGTGTGGTTAAAAAGTAAGAGAGATATGAGTGGAAGATTAGCCAGATGGGCGTTATCGATTCAAGGTTGGGATTTCGACATTGTTTATTGTAAGGGTAAAGATAATGTTGTTGCAGATTTCTTGAGTAGGAATCCGTTACTGGAGGATGTAGAGTCGAAAGTGGAGCATGTACTGGAGCAGAGGGATGAGTTAAAATTGTATGTTTTGCGTGCGGATGATGTCCAGAGTAAACAGGAGGCGGATTGATTATGTACAAATATTATTAATTGCATTCGTTCGGGTGTTAGTGATAATTATCGAGGCTTCTTTTTGCAGAACGAAATCCTTTATAAGAAGTGTCGTTTGAATCAAAATATAGTTGATTTAGTGGTCGTTCCGTCTGAATTATTTTCGGAATGTATGAAGGAACTGCATGACAGTGGCCGGACGGGCGGACATTTTGGTTTGTTTAAAACTTTTTCAAGGTTTAGACAGAGGTATTTTATGGTAGGTGCTGAAAAAAAGATCGAATCGTAGGTCAAGAGTTGTCAGTTGTGTCAGAAGCGTAATATAAATAAAACGATTTCACCATTAATTTCTATTCCCGTGAATGGTATTTTCGAGCGTGTGGGGATTGATATTTTAGGACCGTTTAATCGTTCGGATAAGCGCAATAAATATGTAATTGTGAGTATCGAATATTTGTCGAAGTATGTGCAGCAGGGCCGTAACCAGGGTGACAGCGGAAACAATATGTGATTTTTTGGTCTCGGAGGTATTTTGTAGGTACGGCGGAGTAACAGAAGTTTTAAGCGATAGAGGATCGGCGTTTACTTCTCATTTGGTAGAGGAGAAAGCGCGAGGTTTTGGAGCGATTATGGTGCATACTACGGCATTCAATGCGAAGTGCAATGGTTAGTGTGAGAGATTGAATAGGACGCTGTTAGGGATGTTAGCGAAATATATAGGAGCCGAACAAAGGAATTAGTGTAGCATGTTACCATTGGTGAGTTTCGCCTACAATTCTAGTAAACATAGAAGTACCGGGGTGTCACCATATATGGTTTTGTTCGGTAGAGAATCCTTATGTGCCACAGATACCTATAGAATTAGGGATTAAATACTTATGTCCTTAGAATAATAACGCATAGAATGATAGTTTCATAAAAAACGAACTGTCACAAGTGAGGCAAAAATCAAATTCATGTAGGCGTAAGCAACTTGTATATACGCTCGTCGGCACGCACACAAATTACAAATAATGATGCCATGGAATAACATTTCCCTCAAAAGTGGGGAAATTGTATCTTGCTTAACTCATCGTTAAGTTAGAGGTGCCTACAGATTTGCTCGATTTTGTCGATCGTTACTGTTGATCGACAACGTCAAGTGACAGGAATTTTCAAAAATTTATTTTTGGTAATCCTTATGGAAATGGCATTTATATCTGAATACACGAAGGCGGACACGACTTTTCTCATTTTTAAATCCAAGATGGCGGACACGTCTTTTCGAATAAATGCAATATGGGAATCGTTTTCGAGGTATTCGAGGTGCTCATCACGAATATGGCATTTATTTCTAAATCCAAGATGGCGGACATGACTTTTCAAATAATAGCAAGTTGGGTGTCGTTTTCGAGGTATTTAGGGGTGCTCATTAAGAACATGGCACTAATTTCTAAATCCAAGACGGCGGGCACGTTTTTTCGAATAATGGCAAGTTGGGTATCGTTTTCAAGGTATTAGGGGCTACTCATTCCGAATATAGCACATATTTCTAAATCCAAGATGGCAAAGAATTAGAAGTCTTGTCCCCCATCTTGTATTCAGATATACATGCCATTTCTTTATGGTTTACCAAAAATACATTTTTGAAAATTGTTGTCTGAAAAAACGTCTATAATTCTCAATCGTTACTGTCGATCGACAATGTCGAGCAAATCTGTAGGCACGTTATTAAATACCACCCAATTCTTATTTAACTCATATATGAACAAAAACCTACAAGCGAGTTTAAGTGCGACTATCGAATTTGAATACATAAATAGCCTGATATTATCTGTGGGTATGTTTATATGAAAAGTACACGATAACCTGAACCTGAAAGTTGTTTATACACGATTTTGGAGAACTGACGATGACTTTTTAGTCAGTGTTAGTTTCCTGAAATAATTTTAAATAAGAACTTTTGAGTCTGGGCAAGACAATTTTTTTAAGTGAGTGTATGATGAACAAGAATAATGATTTTTCACATGAAACTAATGAAGGAAGATACTAAATATACTCGTATTTCGTAAAAATAGCTAACGTAAATTCCCTACAATGTTGTTGCGGCGGTGTACATTTGTAGAAATTTTGCAACCGTCGCGATATTATAATAAATTTTTCTTTATTTCGGACTTAAATTATCCATAGTAGGTTAGTAACAGCAAAAAACTTAAAGTAAGGTTAGTACAAACAAAATGAAAATTCTAAAACTACAACTACAGCTCCCATTGGGCCACACCTTTTGTTTGACTCATCCAATATTCTGCAATTGGACAGTCAAACCTCCAAGCGATAGCGTTCAGAATGCTGTTGGTACTTTTCCGGATGCGACTCCACAGGGCGACAATCCTCTTTCGCATGACGGCTTGGAAGCCGTCCGTACGAGCTTCCGCAAACATGCCCGACGCGCTACACCTACTTGGCAGTCCCAACAGCATCCTAAACGCGTTATTGTACTGTACACGTAGAGCACTGTAGGCCCGTTTCGTATACCTAACCCACAGGCTGCTCGAAAAAAAGGATTGGCTGTATGCTTTGAATAAAGTGACTTTTACATCATATGAACATCGAGCAAACCTGCGGGCAAGCATATTACTCCGAACCGACAACGCCCTACGCTCCCTATCAATGTCCAAATCATCATTCATATCGCTCGAGAGGATGTGCCCCAAGTACTTCACGCTTTCCACAACCTTTAAAGGAGTACCATGTAACAATATGGGTGGCACATAATATGGCTTAATATTACCCGCTTTAAAAATGATCACCTCGCTTTTTTTGGGGTTGTACACAAGTCCGTGGGCCGTGGCATACTCCTCACAGGTCTCAAGTAACTGCACCAACGCACCGACCGACGGGCTAAGCAGCACCATGTCATCGGCATAGCTTATGTTGTTAATGCATGTGCTACCAACATAACACCCCGCATGCATGCCACTGAGCCCGCCTATCAGCTCGTCGACGTACAGGTTAAACAGCTTAGGTGACGTAATTCCACCCTGTCTCACTCCACACTCCAGACTGTACTCACTAGACAACATATTGGCCCATCTAACCTGGTTTATTTGATTGCTGTACCAGTGTCTGAACAAGGCCACACAATCCTCCGGCATACCTGTCCCACTTAGCTTCTGCCATAGCCTGTCATAGTCGACTCTATCGAATGCCTTTGACAAGTCGAGGAGACAAGCATACACAGGTGTTTTCCTATCAGTATAATACCTGACCGTATGCTTTAGGCAAAGGATGGCGTTATCTGTAGACAGCCCTGCTCTGAAACCAAATTGGGCATCAAATTGGGCATTGCCTATTGCCTATTCTCAAAAAATTAAGTAATATAATTATTTTGAAACAGAATAGCAAAATGGGGAGAAAAAACCCGTTACTTTGCAACATTTTCGTATCTTGTTTCGATCAACGAAATTAATTTTCTGTTTTAGTGAATATTTACATGAAAATACAAGTTGAAACGCGTTACTTCCTTGTGGAATGTGATGTTAGTGTCTATTTTATATTTGTCTGATCTATTTTTAAACCCAATTACCGCACATTTCATCATTTTTAGCAAAAATTTTTGAGCTGCTCGCAGTGCAACTTGACCTTGAGCACTGACAGCTCGCTCGCTCGTGTAAGCCCATAGGGCGTCCTACAATTTGCCTCACTTAGCGTGTGCGGGCTAGGTTTCTATGCGTTATTATTCTAAGCTTATGTCAATTTTGCGGAAAACTTGCAAGATAAGATTGCAAAACAAGCAGCGTTGATCGATGTAGTTAAGGAACGAATAGTGAGGGCGCATATAAAACACAAGCGAAATTATGATAAGAAAGCAAAAGTAATTGTATATCAGCCAGGAGACTTGGTAATGCTATATTGTCCTAGGAGAGTTTCCAACAGAAGTGTAAAATTAGCTGGATTGTTTAAAGGGCCGTATAGGGTAGTAGATAGGTTGAGTAGAGTTAATTATATTGCGAGAAGAATAAGTGTAAATAGGAATAGATCGGGTAGGCAGGATCTAATCCATGTGAATAGAATGAAAAGGTTCTATAGTAGGTAATTTAATGTTTTGTTAGTTTCTAGTAGGTTTGTTAATCTTTTGTATTTGTTTTCATATGGAGCTATGATGACATTGTGACGAATATTTTGATGGAAGTTGTTATTTTCCGGCAAATGCAGACTTAGAAGGACGGGAGGAGAAGATGGACTACCGACTTGGATAGATATTACTCACTTTTTATTTGATGGGTATATTGTCCTGTGTGGGTGCATAGTTCGTGGTCACTCTCCCAGATGAACAAGAACTGTCTGCATTCAAGAAAAATATATTTGTTTGATTATTAGGAATCTTTCATGTGGTATACCGCCATATCATATGTGTTAGGAAGTGTTGTTGTTAGGATAATTTGCGTGTTGTTGTAATTTGTTCAAAGAAAGTAAGAAAGTTAGGTGGATCATGGTTAGCTGCAGGACGAGGACTAAGGCAGCTGGGAGGTCATTATTGATGTTAGTGAACGTCCGATGAGTGCTGAAGCCTGTGTCGTCGTCGTAGTAGCGTGCACGTTGACGATAGTTTAGTGATGCGTTTAGGAAGTTCTAGTAGTGATGTTTAAGGATTTGTTAGGAACATTCAGCCAAGCTACGGTAGCTGAAATAAAGAGTTAGGATTTAGATAGGTTACCTAAATAGCTAGGATAGCTAACGAATAATTATATTGTGAATTGTTTGATTAGGATGTGGTCATGGTCTGTCCTTTTAGATAGGTTTCTGGCAGACTAAAGCCACAGCCTCCTCGGTGGTTTGCTTGTTGGTAAGGTAGTAGCTTTCGAGCAGTGTGTGGCTAGCCTATAGTAAAGGCTGATCACTTATGTAAGTTGCCTATCATAGGTAGGGCACCAGCTAGGGATGTTCACCCCTTCAGTTGTGAGGAAGAGGGATGTAGTCTAGGCTCTACTCTATGAGTAGAAGTACTGGCTGAATGAGTATAGATTTGTGTTTAGAATGTATTATAAAAAATAGGATAGAAAAAAGAAGAACATCTTGGCAGTTCGAGAAGAAGCCTCCAAAAAACAACAAGTAAAATAGGTAATAAATATTTATTTATGAAGATATTCCCAGTTTATATTTAAAAGGATCTCTCGCTACACTACGTGAGCTACGTCCTATGCTATCCGTAACCATCATAACGCAACATTAACAAAGAATTTAGTTGTAATTATATATTTATTTAAAAAACTACCTATACATCAGGCACCACCTTTCACTTATATACAAAACAATAACCTTAACTTAAAAACTTGCGTAAATTTGAAACAAAACAAAAATAGTTTATATAGAGCGAGTAATACATGAAGGCAAAAATTATATTTTTTTAGCATTATAATACAATGCGGAATCATCTTTATTTTTTTATCTTTGTTATTTTCGAAGACTGGTTATCGTAACAATTCCATTACTTATTTGAAAGTTATTTTTTCGGACGGACGTCAGACGGAGAACGAGAGTAGACCCCCAGAGCGCAAAAGATGGGCCCACTTGAAGCTTAGGCAAGCGATGTTTTATTCTAAAGTCTCAGGTCCATGATTTCACCATATATGTTTACTTAACGGTTGCATTCGTTCCCACTGATAGGTATCAATAATATAATTATAAGTTACTGTTTTACTGACTGCTACTTTGTCCTTGTATTCCTTCTTTGATTGATTATCATTAGCCAGAATTTTGTTTTGATCTTCATAAACGAACAGCAGGATTATCAGGAGGCCTACCATAACCTTTCCAAGAACAATCTTATTTCAATGTAACCATAAAGAAATCTTATTATAATATTACTCATTTTCGTACCATGACAAACCTATCAACCAAGTAATGTTTTATTGCTAAAGTGACTGAAAGAACGAATGATTTCCCAATATTGTCTATTCCTTACTAAAAGTAGGAAAGAAATAACGCTATAGGAACTGTATAATGCCATCTCTTTTTTTTTGATGTTCCGAATCGTGCTATCGTAGTATAATGTTAAAGTACTTAATGTTATTTACATTCAGAGAATTTTAACTGCCAAAAAAGGAAAAGTATGTAATAATGAAATCTATTAAAATTACGTTGCTTTCAATTATTATTCCGTATTTTCATGAAGAGAAATAAATAAAACAAGCTGAGTTTCGATAGTCACGTTGTGAATTCGGAACCATAGTCTAGTGTCAACTGTTAGTTTCACCAAGGAGCATATAGATGGGGCTGTCATAATTTTATGAAATAAACATCGTGTATTTTTATTTTACGAGAAATTATTTCCTTTGTGTTATTAAATAAAAAATAATCAAAATATTGAAGAGATATATGTAAATAAATGAGTTCAACTTAACTTTTAATCATTACAAATCAATATTAAGACAATAAAACTGAAAATAATATTGTTTCCATTGCATCCGTGTAACTATTTTAAGATTGCTAAATTTGACTTATGAGCAATATTACTTTATTTTCAAAGTTACGAACTGAGTGAATCAATAGTCGCAAAGCTGCCAATAAAATATCATAGCACATCATAGTTTTAACATTACAAATAAGCTTACTTTAAGCGCGTTATGGTACGTAAAGTCAATGTAAGGTTAAAGTAATATTGTTTTAAGACGTTGTGGTAGGACCCCCTGAAGGAAAAATCTAAATTTTTCTTTACAGAAAGATATAGTGCCTGTGTGGAAATTTTATGTGATAAAAGGGTAGTGATTTCACTAAACAGTAGATCGTTAGGCGGCGGTAAATCAGATTTACTGGGAAAATACTTTTTATATTGCAGTAATGCATTTTTTGCTCATCGAGTGGCACAATGAACTTCTTCCCTCTTTTCAAAACTACTTAAACCAGAAACTGGGTACCTATATGCTAAATCTATGCCAGAAACATATAAATATTAAACTCAATAGTAGCTATAGCAAAACCTTTGAATCCTCAGATGAATTAAACTAAAACAATTTGATCCACTTATGACAAATAACACACATATTGCGTTATGATGGTTACCTACCCTATCGGTTTTATACATCAGCAACCTCACCAGACTAGTTCACCTCGAAGTAATTGTTAAACGCCTGTCCTTTATATTATTATGGCAATAAAGCACTAAAAACTTTTGCCTTTTTAGTTTAGTCAGGCACTTTTTCGTAAAATTTTAAATCGATTTTATTTTTTTTAACTAATGTACATATGAAGCGTATACCTTTAATTCGTGAAGGTAGCAGCAATTATTGGTCATACATCTGGAAAATCTGCTCCCTTCATGCTGAACAAAGAGGCGTCCCTGATGCCAGAATGGCCGATTATTGAGGTAATTTCTCAGAATATCATAGGTTGCAATTATTTAGAAAAGGTAGCAATTCTTGAATATACAATCGGTGCCAGACGCCACAGGCGACCAGCCATCCTGACGGTCACCAAAAAAATTACCTTGGAATTGCGGTATTGCTAGTAACGCCACCACTATTAAACTGCGATAGTGGCAGTAAAGGTCTAAAGTTCCTCCAGCAGAGTACTGCTACTGTACCTATTACTGATATCAAGCACGTACTTGGGACTTGTCAACTTTTGGCTCGGAACGACGGTGACGGGTGTAATGACAGTTCGACCGCCCCTCTGGTTTTAACTGTTGTCGCTTACCACCAGGCGCAAGATTCGTTCGTAGTCTCTTGGCACCATAGATTTAGTATATAGGTACCCATAGATTGGCAATGCAAGTGAAAGAGCGTTAGTATACACGTATGTTAGAGCGAGATGGGTAGACGAGACCACTTCATGATACGCTATGAGCCTGCATGAACCTAGGGTCAACTGACAACGAAACAAATTTCGTTTATTTTTGAAAAATAATTGGTTTTAAAATGTGAAATAGTATTAAGCGAACGTTTATTAGTCACGGTAACGTGTTCAGTACCCGGATGTAACTCATTTAAAAAGGAAAACTCGCAGAATTGTACATTTCACATGTAAGTACTATTTAAATTTTTAGCTGTCCAAAAGCACTACCACAAAAGTTTTTTACATAAAT